GTATGGGGATATGGACAACACTCCAACTCAGTAGTGGCTCCTGATGCAATTAAAGCCAACAGCCTAACCTTTCGACAGTTCGCGCATTTCTGACACGCGCTATTATGGGGGGCGAGGATAAGTCCCCGCCCTAACATACAAAGAATTAAAAAGTTTGTTTTCATGCATCAGGGTGAATTAAACTTATCCGCAAACTGTATCTAGATCTTTTATCGACAAACACGTCATTTAGCAACTACAAATTCCGGACCTTTTTCAGCACTAGTCCAAGTGTGGCTGTCCTGATCTATTCTCATCTAGCTTAGAAATCATTATTCATCCATGTATTTTTAACAGGCGTTTACTTTACTGATCTTCCACCATCAACAACCGACGAGGAACTTCTGAACAACAACTGGGACAGCGCTGCAAAGGCAACCGATGCAAGTAATGTTGCATACTATGTAAAGTTGACTGTTCGCTGGTGGCAAATACACAGATTTCAGAGAGACAAAACCATGGGACGTCAGGTATACAGGCATGACGGCGAGGTTGATCTGAGTGAATACAATGGGCAGGTCTTTCCAAGATCATGAAACCACATTGGAAAGACCAAACAACTAATATGTGTATTTTTTTCCAACCTTGTAAACTATTAAAAACCATACTTAACTGTAAATGGTCGATATATTTGCCTTGATTCTTTTTAACCTCCTGCAAAACTGATTTGACATTCCTGCGGTGCAGCAGGCATGTGATATTCGAGTAAAAACAAGAAAATCGAAAAGAAGCAACTGCACGCACAGTTCAATTTTTCGAGTAATAAACGGTGGATTGTCGTGATTTCTTAATGAAGCAGTTATTGTTGCTTTTATATCGTTAAAAATGCTTGAAGATTCTAAAGCTATCAAACTTTTTGTCAAACATGAAATCATTGTACTCGCGGGTTTAACTAAAATAAAGCATTTATGGCGTCGATGCAAGTTTCTTAGCGCTTTGTACCGAGCTAAAATAAAGCATTTATGGCGTCGATGCAAGTTTCTTAGCGCCTTGTACCGAGCTAAAATTTCATCAAACTGATCACGGCGCACGTCATCAGTGCAATTCTTTGTAAAACTGCACCGCCCATTTTGAAGATTCACAGGAAAGATTTTCTAGTCCCACTAGGTTTAAAAGGGTTTTTATTCCTTTGTTTGAGGTTTAGTTGGGCCACAATCGTCACTGTCATTTATCTTTATTAACTTGAAAACTGTAAATTTGACGTAATATAAACATGAACACAACAACATACATGTGAGATGAAAAGGCTGTCCATTCCATGTACAAAGCATCATGGGAGTTTTCCAACTAATTCATCTCCGTTCAAGTACTCCCACAAACCAGTTTTTGCGTTTATTTAAAGATTATGCTTTTCAAATCCTTTTTGCCAAGAAAACAAACTGGGTTCATCATTTTAGCTAAAATAAAGAAGTACACATCATGCTTTGTTTCAGAACATAGTCTTGATAAGCAGAATAACTAAATAATAACAAAGTCACTTACTACCTGAATACATCGGCACACTGTACTATTGCAACAATGTTATTGCAATATTGTTAAATTCTTGTATAAAACACTTCAATTGGCGAATAAGAGCTCCAAAACGTCTCTGATTCTTCTTTGTCCAAAAGAGCAGTTCACTTTTCTAAACCATATATAGCGAGTTTTCGCATATCATTATTGGATGGCCTCTAAGTCTCTTCTTTTCAAAATTGTCTTTCWTTGKTGCTTCAGTTCTGGCTGCTTTCTTTTCTGTTTTTAATTTGATGATTCTTATTCTGACATCATCAAGATGTGACATCATACTC